CCCCAGACTAACTGGTCACCTGGACTCAAGGAGCTGATAGCTGAAGCAAGCAAAGCTTCACTGAGCCCCATTCAACCTTGTCATGACAGGGCGACCATCTTGAAATGGAGAAAGGGCTTCTCTAGATCTTCATAGCTGTATGGAAGGCAGGATATCTGCAGTGTTGCTTCTCATGCTGAAATTCTCTATTTCACACATATTAAGAGGCACTGAAGCCTTGTGCTATTTTTCCTGTGTCCACCCTAAGACAAGACCTTCCTGTGAACAGCCATTATCTTATTCCTGATCTGAAAGATGTATTTTCTAGTTCAGGACCCCTAAAGTCATTAAGATAAGAGTGACGAGGATGCTGCAGTGCAAACAACTCAGAACACCAAACTCCCACTAATGCAATCATGTCAAGGCTTTGGACTACCTAGCCTATCTCAAAGCTTTATATTCCCTACTATTACTACTAACTGTAATATTCCCTTCTATGCTGGACAAATCCTCTTTAGGTCCATATTAACTTGCAATGTCAGGTCTTTAAAGCAGGACCTGAGAATTGGAGCTGAAGTTTCTCTTTTAAACCCTCATGTTCCAGAGATTCCCCTTTGTCACAGTTACAAAAAAAGTCTACATTCTGCTGAAAGGAAATACCTGAGTTCTGTTCATAGTAATCTCATTTCCACCTCTCTTGTTCTTTATGTACACAAAATTACATTTCTGCTCTGCCTTCTACATCTGTGGGAGATCAGTTGGGCTTTTCCTTGTTGAAAAAGTTCTGAGAGCAGTAAGTACTGATGCTTAATCAACAGCACAGACATGCATATGTCACCAGGGACAAAGTAGAACAAAAAACAACCCTACTTTTTGATCCTTTAAAGGCCATTAAATCATTTGTAATTAAGGAGAGGGCTGGAGACAATAACAACTTAACAATTATTTGTTGTCAGAGGATACAACCGATAGCAGATTTTAACAAGAATTTTTTCAACCCCTTACACAGAGAAAAACTGTGTTGCTTAATTATATATGCTACACAGAAAGTTGGGTATTCAGTTTACTGATCTCAGAAGGATGGAAGGCCGAGTTAAACAGTTAAACCTGAGCCCTAGGGATTAAACTCAGGTCGTGAACAGAGTCTTGACCGAAGTACTGCAGTTTAACCACTGCACCATGAGGCTTTTACAGAAATACAGAATGCCTACTAATAATATTCCTTCCAACCTTCAAGCTAAAACTATTTAAATATTTACATATGCTTACTTCTGTGTAAAAATAAGCATATTGTTGCAGTCTAAAGATCAGTCTAGCTCACAAATAGTGACTCTGGAGAGAGTGAAAGAGGTGTTCCCTTCCCTTCGAAACATACCTTTTAAGCTCACTGACAAGACACTTCTCCTAATCTAGCTCCTATCCCAACACATAACAGAAGTCATAACAGGCCAGTCCCTCCACTCACCACCAGGTTTTCCACAGTTTGAAATTTTACGTACTTTTGCACATAGACACACAAATTCCCTTGCAATCTTAATGAGAGCTGGCTATACAACCATCCCATTGGGGAAAAAAAAACATAACCTCACAGGGGAATTAAAACATTTGGTAGGCTGAGGATCAATCTAGCTCACAAATAGTGACCCTTTGAAATATCCCTTTTAAGCTCATTGACAGACACTTCTCCTAACCTAGCTCCTCGTCGTTGTTTAGTCGTTCAGTCGTGTCTGACTCTTCGTGACCTCATGGACCAGAGCATGCCAGGCCCTCCTGTCTTCCACTGCCTCCCGGAGTTGTGTCAAAATCATGTTGGCTGCAACCTAGCTCCTATTCCCACACATAACAGAATTCATACCAGGCCAGTCCCTCCACTCACCACCAGGTATCTCCACAGTTTGAAATTTTACGTACTTTTGCATATAGACACAGGAATTCCCTTGCAATCTAAATGAGAGCTGGCCATTGGGAAAAAAACCGATAAGCTCACAGGGGAATTAAAACATTTGGTAGACTGACGTTTCCTACTGATATTAGGTGGCCATATTTTGCTTCCAAAACAAGCCACTCAACCATAATAGTATGGCTACTTGAAGGAACAACAGCATTCCCAGAAATCTATAATACACTCAAATGTCCAGATTAATTGGTTAAAAAGTTACTTAATGAATAATGTTAAAAGCGTCCTGTTGGGGTAATTGCTATAAATTAACTCCTTCAAAAGAACAGAATGTGCCCAAGTGAAATACTGCCTGATGCATTTTAATCCTTGAGAGCAAGTGATAACTCAGCAACCCTTGAAATGCGTCTCTTCCTCTTAAGTGTCATGTAAGGTAGAATAAAGCAGAAAACAAATTACATAATAAGCCCCATCCATCAATTCTCCAGACCACAAAGTCATCAAAGGCTAACAGGGGTAACAGAAGATTTATTTCTAGGTTCAAAGCTATATTTTCCATGCTCATCAAATCCTTGAGCCAGATTCTATCCTTGCCCAAGTGGGTTCAGCTATGGGGAAGCAGTGTCTGCTTACATCAGCCACACTTGAATTTAGACACACAAGGGGGCAGGGGAAAAACAAGAGACTGAGGATGACCTCCAAGATTTCTGTCAGAAATCTGTCTGTCACACTAAGCAGCTGGTCTCCTTCAGCCGGCTATCCTCTTCTCTGGTCATGTGTGGCTATTAATGCCCAGTATTGGAAGGCTGCTGCTTCCCTGGATAGCAGCAAAGTGTCATGACAAATATATTGCAGACACACACAGTCTAGCACACACTGTAAATGACTTCAGCTCCTAAAAGCAATGGAATATGATTCCTCATCTCCAAATGAGAGCTGACTATATAATCATCCCATTGAAAAAAACACCACCATAAATTCACAGGGGAATTAAAACATTTGGTAGGCTGACCTTTCCTACTGATTAATCCTCATTTATTTGTTCATCTATAACTGTATGCACTGTATTTTTAGTTACACATTTGGAAAAGAGTATATCTCATTCTTAAACGCACCATGGAGGCAAATGTTAAACTAGAAATCACTGCCTTCAAACTTCAGCTCATACACATTTTCTCTTGCTTTGACTGGGCAACATATGCCGTCTATGACAAATCCATGTCATAACTGAGGCTGGTGTATGTGTTGTGTTTATGTGTGATACTTGCACAATCTAAGCAAGCAAAGGAACAGCTGAGTTGAAATTTAAAGGCACATGTTCCTGAATCGGCACCAGGACGTCTATCCACAGATTCCACTAGAACATGGAACAAGTGGCGCCCCCAGTGGCTAAGCTAGAGGAACATAATGAGGAAGACAGAATATGTCACTGAATGCCATCTTATGGGCATTTTGACCACTGGAATCAGAGGGACATAGTTCACTGAAGTAAATATGACTGGCAACAAAGACACTCCAGGAATTTGGGCAATTCTCCTTCCTAGGCCCCTCTGGAGAAGCCAGAGATTGAACCTGGGCTCTTCTGCATGCAAAGCACATGCTTGAACACTGAACTGTGGCCTCTCTGTAACAGAGCATCTATGATCTCCCATCCAGGTACTACTAACTAGGTCCAACTCTGCTCAATTTCTAAAATCAGATAAGATCCTACGTGTTCAGGGTGGTATGGTGTTCTTCTTCATCTACACTGGTGCAACTGTACAGCTAATTATTGGATCATAACTGTCAAAATGGGTAATAGTTGTGGGGAATCGGAGCAAGGGAGGCCTGCCTAAATTTCACAACCACCTTGATGGGGGTTTGTAACTGCCCAGATTAGACATGTTCTAGATGGGCAGCATATAAATCTAATGCA